GGGGGAAAGCGGAGCCTGGAGGCCGGCCGCTCTGCCGCCCCCCCGAAGGCTGCGGCGCGGACGGAGCGACGTCGGGCGGGCGGCTCCCGGGTCGCTGTGGCTGCGGCGGCTCCGAAGAGCAGCGGCCGGCTCGCTTCCTCCCTGCGAGCCGTTGAACCCTCGGCGGCGGGCGGTCCGAAGCTCGCGGGGCCCTCGGACAAGCCGTGAGCCCCCCGGCGCGGTCGTCACCGGCTGCTGCTCGCTCGCTCGCTCGCTCGGAGTGCCGAGGCGGAAGCGAAGGGGCCGCGGTGCCTCCGGACGGGCCGCGCACGAGCCCGCGCAGTGCAGGGAGGGGCCGCTCGGCCGTGCCCCCGTCGGCGCCCGCGGCTTGGGATCCTCGCCCTCGCTTCCCTTCGCGTCCTCACGGCCATCCTGTTGTCTCCTGCCGAAGCAGCACTTAGACTGGCGGCTCCTCGGGGCAGCAACCTACCTGCTCACCTCCACCCCACTCTCCCGGCCCTTTCCGTTCCGGCGTTGCAGGGTGGCCGGGCGCGCTCCAGCGAGGAGGGCGCAGAGGAGTGCACCGCGGTCGGACGCATGCCAAGCGGGGAGGAAAGCCCGCCTCGACGTGCCACTGGGGGGGACCGTGGAGGGGGCTCCAGCGGGAGACTGAACGGCCCCCGCCCCGGATCTGGGGTGCTGTGCTCTGGAGGGCATGACAGAGTCCGCTGCTGAGGAGCCCCGGTTTGCACGCACGGTTCTGTTTGCTGGTGGCATATGTACACCCCACAAAACCCGGAGCTCTCTAGAAGGTTCGTGAGAACGGAAGCTGTAAAAAAGAGCGTGGCGAAATCGTTATGCGGAGCCTTAGCCATCCAAAAACAAAGTGAAACACAGTCACCCTTTAAAATGATGGCAAGGGTTTCTAAAGCAACAAAACCAAAGAGAGCAATCGCCTGGCCGGGCACGGTTTCCTCATATCGCAGCCGGGGGCCTTTCTGGTAGAAGCCCCCCCCCCCCGCGGGCCCTGCCCCTGCCCAGCCCGCTCTGCCTGGTCACAGGGATGAGGGTGGTGAGGAGCCTGTACCAGGAGACCTGCCTGGAGGGCACTGGGGTGAGCAGGTGGCAGCTGAGGGGGGGCTCAGCCAGTTGCCCCCACTGGGGTGAAGCCGCTAGGGCCGGGCGCCCCGTTCCGCCTGCCAGATGTGCACAAAGGCTTCTTTCAGTATTAATCGAACATCCCCGCAAGTTACAGCATTCGACCGAATGAAGCACAAATGCATGTACTGAGTGCTGTAGGAGCGGCGCTCTGCACATGCTCGGTGCATTTTCATGCTTGCTATTTGTTTTTGTATCCATTCAATAGCAAACGTTCTCGGGCTGTTTTACAAAAGCTAAAGCAAAAGCACCCGGGGCAGTTCTCTCTTCCCAGGCATTCCAGGCTCTGGCGCGGAACGCAGCCCTTCCTTGCCGTGGGCCCTGGAGGATGCCGGCCGACTGCGAGCTCCGGCGAGAGCCGGGTCCCCGTGCGGGAGCGGCATTCTCCAGGGGGGCTTGTCGGGAGGGAGAGGCTCCTGGCTGGGACATGTGGCCCCAGCAGGGCGGGCAAGATGCCCAGGCCAGCGGGCCAAGCGGGGTGGCAGAAGCTGCACAGTCCTTGCTCGCGGGCCGGTCTCAGGCCAAGAAGCAGAAACGGAGCTGGGGCAGACGGGCAGGGGCTGCCTTGGGGGGAGTGAGCAGCGGCCCCCACCCCCTTGGGACACCCAGAATAGGCCTGGGGCTGGTCGACAGGGCAGAGGACGGCGACAGATGTATATTTTGCCGAGTGCAGGTGCATCCCGCCCTCTGGCCCCTTCTCAGCAAGGCGACTGCGGGGCCAATAGGAGGCAAGGCATGACTGGTGTGCAGCGCGTGACGCGTGGCCTGGGAGAAGGTTTCACCCGCTCCTCATTCTAGGAGGACCTGCAGCAGGCCGCCTCCCGGAGCCCGGAGCAGGCAAGCGGAACCCGCCTGCGCAGGGGCCATCCTGCTGGAGGCCCTGCCAGTGCCCAGGGGAGGCAGTGTCTGGACTGGGTGAGGGCCAGCCACGCAAGGCAAGGCTCCACCCCGGCAAGATGAAGGTGCTGCTGGGAGTGGTCGTCTGCTGGGTGACACTCGGCCTGTCCTGGATGAGGCTACGGGACGAGGTCCCTGCTGTGGGGGAGCTCCTGGCCCAGAGCTTTCACCTGAGTCGCAGGTGGGCTCAGGGGCACGGAGCACCTCTTGGCAGCTTGAGCTGAGGCACCCACTGCGCCCCGACCTGGAGTGACGGAGCCTCGCTGCAGCCGTCTGCACCCTGCCAGCTCCCCGTTTGGACTGCTGCGCTGCGCTGCACGTGGGGCTGCCCTGGAAAGCAGTCGGGAGTGTCCGGCCAATTCAAAATGAGGCAGCAAAGCTGAGAACGGGCTGGAGCACGTGATGGCAGTCCTCTCCCAGCTGCGTTGGTTGCCCATTGAAGTCGGGCATGATTCAGAGTGCGAGTGCTAAAACACAGAAGCAGTGCGAGTCAGAAGGGGTCTCCCGGGCCATCTAGTCTGACCCCCGGCACCAGCCGGCTCCGCTCACGACATGCCCACCAGATTAACATTCATCGTCCCAGATGGTTTGGGGCCAAGTTTGCTGAAGGAACGGCTCAGCCCATAAGTACCTACCCAGGCCTGGACCTGAGACCATCTTCTGGAGTCTTTCTCAGGAAGCCCCCTCCACAGGAAGAAAAAGTGGTGGCTACCAGAAGGGCTTTTTTGGTTGTGGCAACCCAGCTATGGAACCGGCTTCTCCAAGAGGTGTGCCTGGCGCTTACTCCTTACGATGTTTTGGCACTGGATAAATACCTTTTTACTTGTCCAGTGTTTTAATATGATCTGAATAATATGAACATATGATCTGGCCAGGGCAACTTCTTCTTCCTTCTCTTTCTCCTATATTTTTATTTACTTATTTTATACTGATAATTTTAATTTTATATTTGTAACTCAGTGTATGTTTTGTATTTTTGTATTTAATGGTAATTTATTATGTTCTATTGTATTTCAATGTATTTTATTGTGTTGTAAGCTGCCCCGAGGTTTCGGCAAGGGGTGGCATAGAAATGTTATAATAATAATAATAATAATAATAATAATAATAATAATAATAGTTCACTTTTATTCTCAACTTTTATGCTGCATTTCGTCTTGTCTTGCACCGGGACCTCTGGACCGAAGAGATCGCGGCTGCTGTGGGCCTTTTGCCACTGTTCTCTTTGGGGTCCTGGGTTTATTGCTTGGTTATTATGGAGTGTTTGCTTCTTGTTATGTGTTCTTTTAACTTTTTGAACCACCCAGAGAGCCTTGTGGGCATTGGGTGGCATAGAAGTGAAGTGAAGTGAAGTGCATGAATCCAGCCTGGAAGGCCTGCTGGGGGTTGTGGCTGTGGAGGCTCAGCTCCCCTGTTTTACTGGGGAGGGGGCACAGCTGGCCCTGCTGTTAGGAGAGGGGGTGGTCCCCTCCCTGCAGTGGCTGTTTCTGGGGGTCTCGAAAGGGCTGTGGGACGCCCATGATCGATGCTGCCGTGTTTGTGCCGTCTGGGCCGGGGAGAGGCGCTTCCAGGAGCTTTGCCTTTGGCCACCTCGGACAGGATGCTGTGGGTCAGGGAGTGGCGTTCGCTGCCCTGCCGTCCTCTGGGGGCTGCCTGGAGCCCTCCAGCCTGTTCCCACCTAGAGGGGAGCTTGATTTAGGGACAGGCGGTGCTGCTTTATCCAGGGTCTGTCTAGCCAGCGCCTGGCCAGCCTCACCCAGGATTGTCAGCTCAGCTGGCCACGGAAGAGGCACGCAGGCGGAATCGCACCCGGAGGGGCACTCGTGCCCACCAGAGCCACTTTGGAAAGGGTGAGTGCCGCCCCCCCGCTTCTCGCCTGCCTGACCCCGGAAAGGGCCCCCACCCACACGTGCCCCGGCAGCCTCCAGCGGTGGCCAGACAGCCGCGGGTCAAGCGTGCTGGCGGATCTGTGTGGCAGCCTCTTCCTGGGACGGGCAGCGGCAAAGTCTCGGGTCAGGCCTGCCCCTTCCGTGCAGCACCGTGGGAGGAAATGCCTCCACAGCCCCCCCCCACCCCGTGGCATGGAAGCGCTGCGGCCCTTTCCCCATGGGGAGGATGGGAGCGGGGCCGGCCGGGTGCGAAATTTCTCAGGGCAAAGACGCGCAATGAGGTCTGCGGGGGGCCTCGTGCGTGCGGGGGGGGGGGCAGTTGGCTGCAGGAGCTTTTGTATGACCAGGATTGTAAATGCGGGCGCTCCTCCCTCCCGCTCGCTCTCCTCAGTGGGGAACCCTCTCCCTCTAATAGTCATTAGCATCAATTAGAAACCTTTGAAGTGGCCAGCAAGCTTTGTCCTCGGGCAGAAAAGGAGTCCCCCTTTCAGGCAGCCCATAATAATAACATCTGGAGCGGGGAGGGAGCCTCGTCCCCCGCCGCCTTTCATCTCTGCTCAAGGTGCTTGGAATGTTAATGCGGCTGCTCTTTAATAGAGTCACCAGGAAATGCTTTTCGGGGCCGGGCGGGGGCGCGGGGGGCGCGGGCCGTGGCGTATAAAGGCGGGCCGGGGGCGCGGAGCGAGGCCCCGCCCGCGTCTCTTTCCGACGGGGAGGCGGGGGGGGGGCGTCCTTCCTCCCTCGTGGGCGTGCCCGCGCCCGCCAACAGGTGGGCCGGGAGGGGGGGGCGCCCCTCGCCCTCCAGGAAGCTCCGCACCGCCGGCCCGGCCCGGCCGAGGGGCCTCGCTGGCTGGTGTGAGATTTCCCGAGTCATTACCAGGGGTGAAAACCCGCAGCCCCTAAGCAGGGCCCATTAGCCAGGCACACGGCGCTAATGGGGGGCAGAGGGGCTCGCTAATCGGCCCAGGAGGAGGGTGGGGCGGCGGGCAGGGCAGGGCAGGGCAGGGGCAGCCCTCTCGCCCCGGGGCAGAGAGCTGCAGGCGGGTGCGGCCCAAAGGGCAGCTTTTCCACCATGCAAGGGGCGGGACTCCAGCTCGGCATTCACTCCGTCCAGTGGCTTGAAGCACGTGCGTAAAATCTCAGGATAAGCAGCTGGCTTCTCCGATCTGCCCTCTCCCCCGTGCCCGAGGGCTGTGCCCGCCCTGTGGGTGGACAGACCTGGGCTCTAGCGGCAGCTCATTCACCGGAGCGGGGGGGGGGGCACCCCAAGGTGTTCTGGGCAGTCATGCAGCACCACTGCCTGCGGTCATGCAGTCCTAGAAGGGTAGAGGCGGAAGGGGCCAGAAGGCCATCGGGTCCACCTCCTGCTCAGGGCAGGACACTAAGTCACACCACCCCACTCGGGGGCTGCCCAGTCTCCCGGAGTGTCTCCCGTATGGAGAGCCCCCCACCTCTCCGGGCAGCTGGTGCCGCCGCCATGTGGCTCTGACCGTGAGGAAGCTTCTCCTGATGTCCAGCCTGAACCTGGGCTGTCACAGCTTGTCTTGATTATCCCGTGTCCTGCACTCCACTCGGGCATCAGTGAGGAGACATCCCGGCCTTCCTCTTTGTGACAGCCTTTGAGGCACTTGCAGAGGGATCTCATGCCCCCTCCC